TCCACCAAAAGTCATAAAGTCCAATGTATTCCTCCCCCTAGCAAAGGTATGTGGAAGCCTGAAGAGAAAAAAAGGTTTTCCCAAGCCCAGAAAACAAGAGCAGTTGCTGAGCTGCTCCAGTTGCCGGACCTGTCTCCCCAGTCCTCTAGCTGCCCTCCCCAAAACTGCAGAGACATCTCTATGGCAGAAACATGAGATCTCTGAGCAGCATCTCCCCAGCCCAAAGAACCGTGTTGGTATTCTGGTGTTCCTGCCTCCTGCAAAGCAGCCTTATTTATCCCAAGCTAACCAGGCTCTTTCCTGAACACCAGTGAATTATACTGGGTGATAGCTAATGAGATGAATGGGCACCATGTCTGAGCTGATGATCCAGTGCCATCCCCTCATGCAAGACAAAGCTTCCAGATATCCTTGCACAGGCAACACGTTAGCACTAGCTGAAATGATGTTCCCTGCAGCTTCCATGTGCACACAGTAAATAGAGAAGGAAAAATAGCAGGCAGCATTTTGCCTCTCAGATGATCACCATACAAAGTATTGACTTTTCAAAGTAATCTCATAAGCTCCTGGGTACAGAGTTTATTCCACATCCAATGCAGATGCAGCCCTGTTGTTTAACCATTCAAACTTGTTCTGATTTCAAAAAGCATTTTATTCAAGACAGAGAGATTTATTTTAATTAAAATCCTGTAATCCAAGATATTTATAACCCCTGTTCCTGTTGCTTACCCCCAGGGACTGGGGATCCTCTACACAATATCCTATGCAAACTACTGAACACCCGTACCTGAAGGTCTTTGCACTTAGAAACAATCTGGGCAAAAACTGTAAATGAATATGAAATCCCAGCTTCTCCTCTCTCTCTTTCATCCTTCTCTCTGGTTTAGAATGTCAGTGCACAATGGACAGATTTGAAGTCTGTTTACCAAAAAAAAAATAAGCTAATATTTACCAGTAGTGATGTTTGTCTTTTCTGTAATGCTCTTGATCTAAATCGCTTTACAGACCTGAATGGCCATGCATTGGAAATGCCTCTAAACTCACTTGTACAAAACACAGCCCCCAGTGCGTAACTGGAACCAGACTCACATTCCCTGAGCTCTGAAAAAACAAAAATTCTCATGCCTGAAAATTGATCGAATAGCATCTTTCTGACCATGAAACCGCTACTACACCACTGCAAAAACACTGACGGACACACTAATGAAAACCAGCTTCAGGACAGTAAGTGTGAACACCAGCAGGAGCAGCTCAGAGAAGGTGGGCAAAAGAAGGTGAACAATAGGTAGCCACTCTTTGAAAAATACAGAGGGGAAAAGATGGAGAGGGCAGGGGGCAGACACCCTGCGAGAGACCACAGGAGGTCTAACACCCCTGCGCAGGGCCAGGCTCACTTCTTCCCATTGGCTCCCAAAACAGGGTTCAACAGGTACTCCCAAAATCTCATCTACGCTCTTCTTTTCTTCACACTTTGAATGCAGACTCTGTGGAAGCAGCCAAAGGGATGTTTGCATCATTGCTGCAAGCTTGCCATGGCGAGTCTGTCCCAAACCAGGGACAATGGGCTTCACCAGGTGCTTCCAGCCTTCAAACTCCTCCTGACACTGAGGATTGCCCAATGGTTACCAGGCAGCTGTGTGCTTAAGAAAAAATATTTAAGACAATTTAAGACTGTCTTAAATATTTGAGACAGTTAGAGATGTCCATGAAGGAACATATTACTTCCATTTGCACACAGTTGGCAAAGAGGGTGAGAAAACCATTTGGAAATAGAGCAGGAGGCACCTGGGGATGTTCTCCACAAAACAGTGTTTGGTGTGTGATGCATCTCACTCAGGAAAGACAGAATTTTTGAGATGGAGAAGAGTCCATGCTTCCTCAGCTTTCCTGATATCTTTAGTCTATATTGACTCTGCCTGAAATAGTATTTGCAGAGATGATTTTTCCCTCTCCCTAAATACCTCCTGACCCAGCTGAGGGACCACAGAGAACCATTCTAACTAGAGCAGAACTGATCACTGCTACCTGAGAAAGCTGGAGTCAGCCGCCCTAAACACACACTGATATGACTAAATTTAAAGCCTACAAGGGAAATTGAGAAGAGAAAATACATCTGAGAGACCTTCTGTGCCTCTACTATCAGTCAATGCCCAGGTCTCAGCTAAATTCTGCTTCTCCTAGGCTGACCATTGCTCTTTAGGCAACACATGTGATAGGAGGGATGCACCCTTTCCCTATTATTTCAAGCCTGCCTCTTCCACTCATGATCCCTCTATCTCCTCCCTGTTCTTCTACTGCTTCTACCCACACCCCATCTCCTGCAGCCCCACTGCTGTTGTTGTAAGATCCTTCCCCTCTGCAGCTTCTGCCATCTGGAACCGCCTTCCTGTATCCCACCAACTCACTCCTAGCTTCATCTGTAAATGCATCCCCAGGCCTTCGCCTGTTCCTTTGAATTCCTCTCTCCTTCTGCTGCTGTTTATTATTTAACTCTGTCATTTCATTATTTAAAGTGTTATTAAGGCACACTTGGAACAGAGTATGCACAGAAGTGGCACGATATAGAAAGCTGGACCCTTGGCAAAAAAAACTGGAGAGCCAAAATCGTGACAGTTGGAGGGAAACTGTTTGGATGGAAAAGAGGGGAAGGCACTTTCTGGATGCCAGCATGGATTTTCTCTCCCCTTGGGACTGACAGAAGAGCCTCTTCAAGATGTGTGTTGCTGCCTGCTGCATGGTAGCACTGCCCAGCCAGCTGACACCAAGGCAGAACTGTCTCTTCTTGTCCCACCCTCGCTTCCCTTGTCACCCAGCACCAGTCACAACCACAGGCTTGTGGCCACTATCCCCTCCTTAAAATCATTCCTTGGGGGTGACTGCAGGGCTAAGTGCTCTATCAGCAACACAAACTCACCCCCTTCTCCCTGCCATTCTTTTCCAGCAAATGTAAAAGTTGCACATCAGGGGGATATGGGAAACACAGCCAAGACCTGATTCCAGAAGGGGCTTTGTTTCAAATCAGACATAATACTGCTGGAGATAATGCAGATGCATTAATGCTTTGCTTAAAGATGAGGTGACTATGGCCCTGCAGACAGCTTGGGTAAAGCCAGGTAGGAATGGACAAGGGGATCCCTTTCCCTGAATGACACTTCCCTATGTGGCCAATTCCCTGCTTTTTTCTTTGGGAATAAGCAGCAAAACTATTGCATTCTTCATGAGCTCTCATACCCCAGGAGAAATGAAATGTGAGATGAAGCCTTCTCTTCAAGGGCTTTGAAAGCCAGGAAAGTGCTATGTAAAGAGATGTATTTTTATCCTTACAAGAACATAAACTTTTGTTTCCGAGGCCCTGGAGCACTTGTGCAATTCAGCCAAAGCTTTGTTGCCTGCAGACAACCCCCAGGGCTGTCCCTTCCCACTGCGGGGCAGTTACCTGAAGTCTCTGTGCTCTTTTCACTCATCCCAGAGCAGCCCAGGGGGTACAAGGCCCACGGTCCCTGACACATGAAATAGCAAAGCAAAATCTGAGTCCAGGAGTCCTGCTGCTCTAAATCCAGAGCACACGTCCTCCCTTCCTCGCTTCTCAGAGCAAAGCCACTGCAGGCATTTACATGGGCTGACGGGTCCCTAAATGGTAGTGGGTTAACCTGGGAGCTGAATTTTAGGGAGGGCTCCAGACTTCTCTGCTACCCCAACAAAGAGCTCAGCTCATGAACTCGATTTTCCCAACGGGTATTTTTGCTTCCTGAATGTCCCCGTTGAGGCCAGTCTCACCGGTGGGTCTGGAAGGCACCAGTGGCTCGGTGGGATGGGACAGTGCTTCCTCCTCTCCCCATTGCTCACATGCTGGGATGAGCTTGCAAGGTGCAATGGAGCATTAAAGTATTCGTGGCTCTCACAGTCCTGCCCTTCGTGGTGTGCATTTAGCTCTCGCGTCTCCGCAGGTATATTACAAATGACTGTGGCTTCCCCAACACCAAACTCTTGATTTGATGGCAAAATACTAGAATCCAGACCAGGATTTCCAGTGTTGTTTCCATCACATGCCAGGAGGCCAGGAACAAGTTTTTAAAAGGCTTTTAAAAGACTTTTACAAAGCCCCACCCAGTTCAGTCTGGACAGTGTTGGAGGGTAGTAAAAGAAGTCAGAAATGCTTATATCCAGGTTTGACTCTTTTGATTCACATAAACTTGGTAACAGCTAAAGTTTATTAGCAAGCAAAGGCTGTTGGATGATCAATGAAATGAGCAGTAATCTCACGGAAAGCCACATATTTAATCCATTGGCAAGAAATATGCAGCACTGTGTTTTGGGAGATTTTTAATCCCCACCACTAAAGCCTGGACTGTCCTTGCTTTTCCAGGAAGGTCTAACGCTGTTTAAAATCACGCTGCATGACAGATGTAAGGCAGCTCCTGCTGCCAGACCTGCCTCCCCTCCAATGCCTGAACCCAGCAGGACCAAACCATCCAAGGGCAGCACCATGGGTAAAACTTGCACTGGCACAACACGGTTATCCTCAGTCTCAGACCTGAATTAACCACAGGAGCATTGATCAGACATGACCTGCAGAGCACCCCTCGCTCTGCTCGCAGCATCCCTCTGCCACAGCCAAGGGACCTTGAACAGTGGCACATTTCTGAGAGCAGCCAGACAGGGTCAAGGCTCCTAACTCAAAAGACTCATCGAGAAAAAATGGTTTTTTACTTCTAAGAATGAATTCCAAAATGCTCCCAAACATGTTGCTGGGTGCTCCGTTGTGTTCAGCTGCAGTTCAGCCACAATATGTGCTTTCCCTTCCTCCCGCCCAGGGCTTGGCTGAGAGCAGGTCCCTCCAGCAATGCGGGATGGTCTTACACTGCACATGGCAAGGCAGACCCCAATAGCCTTTACACAAGCATTCACACTTAGCAAAACATCTTGTGCTCCTCAATAAATCAATTCTGGAAGCTATTGATAGTTGGCTAAAGTTGCATTTTAAAAAAATTACCACTTACCTGCCAGAATATGCTGTCTATTGTATTTCCCAGAAAGCCATCTCTCCCTTCTGATGATACTAGTTTAGGTCCCAGAATGGTCATAAATTCATCAAAATCAACCTGGCCATCCCCTGGAATGAAAAAAAAGATCAATGTTTTCACCGAAGTACCATTTCATGCCAACGTCCAACATGGTGCTCTGGGCCCGCTGCATATCATGGACCCATACACTCATCACGGCACCTCCTGCACCAGCTTCCTGGCACCTGCAGACCCAGATTTGTTGATATCCCAAAGAATGTTCCATTTTGTGGCATACCCACACCTGAAGACAGGACCAGGCAATGCACAACTAGAGATGAACAGGCCGTTCCCCAGCCCCGGAGAGTTTCTAGGCAAGTCACTTCTTAAAAAAAAACAATTTTGGCAGGAGGACAGCAGCCCTTAGCACGGCCAGGGCTCTTCCTCTCTGCAGACCTGCCAAACAGCCAGGTCTCTGCAAAGCTTTTACAGGGCCAACCCCATCCTCCAGAGGAAGGGAGTACACACAGAGGGAAGAGCCAGACTATTGCAAATCCACAAGGCATTTCATTTCAGCTTCTCATCAGCATCCGTCTCTTAAAAGCCCTGTGTGCTCAGCATGCAGAGCAGGCAGTGTAGACACAGCTTCAGTGCCATTAGCAGGAAGAGGAGACTGCTCCTGCCATTAATGAACTGAGTCTATGCAGTCCCAAGCCCCTGCAGTATATTGTATGTTTTGAAAATGAGGCACATGGCTGTTTGAAGCATGTCTGAGCATTGTATCAAATGTTATTTTTCCCTCAGAGAACTTCTGCAATGCTTAATGAAAATGGAAAAAAAAAAAAAAAAAAAAAAAAAATGTTGAAAGATCTTAAAGAGACCTGCTTCTCTAAACAGGGTAGCTAAATGTCTGTATGGCTGTCCTTTGTCTGTAATTCCATAAACATCCTCCTACATATTATTAGGCCAATTGATATGGGTGGATATATTAACCCTCCTTCAAGTCTGGAAACAGAATCAGCAGCTGTTAAGACTTTTCGGTTGATTTTTATTCAATTCAGCTGGAACTGACTGCATCCGCCTCTCCATGTAGTTGCTGTTGCTAAATTATTAGGTGTAAGAAGTGTCGAAACCCATCAGACTAAAGCAGATCAATGCAAGGGCTACTATTAAAATGTCACTACTGACTGCAGTACCTGCAGCAGCCCTGCGTGACAGCTTTACCACGTGCACTCCATGCTGCTGCTATCTGTCCTTTTTATTATATTTCATATGCTTGATCTGAGCATATGCACCACTGATTGAAATCTCTCCATGTCCTTATCTTCACAGAAACAAAATGTGAAAATAAGCAGAATCAAAACGCTCGTTTGCCAGAATAGCGAACTCTATTCACTAGGCTCTTGCTGTAATTTCTTGAAGACAACAGTGAATATCCTAGGGGTGAGCCAGTGATGGGGGCTCTGGAAAGAAAACCAGCAGGGATTCGTAATAGCTTTGATCCTGTAACATGCAAGAAGACCCCATCCAACCAACTGCAAAAATTGCTCACACCTTCAGGGATCAGCACACGCTGAAGGGTTTTACTGAGCTGGAGTGGGCTGTGCACTTGCAGGATGGAGTTCCTTTCTGGACAGCTTATTAAGTAGAAAAGGAAAGGGGTGGGCACCCCATCACTTCTTTAAAACATTTATGGTCTGTGAGAAAATGTGTTCCTTCTGCTTCCCCACGGGAAGCATTGGTTTATGACATCAAGTCGGATTGTATCAGTCACAGCACGTTGGATCACATTGGGGAAGGTAATGCAAGGTGACAGTGGATTCGGGGCGGTTTACATCGCAGTACATCACTTCAAGGGAAAGGCAGTAACAAAATAATTCAGTATGATGCAAACCGGGTTAAAGAAATTAGCCAGATTATCGAGGAAACAATTTGCATTTTAAAGAGATTCTAGTACCTGCCCAGGTATATATTTGGTCTATCCATATGTGACCCCAAAATATTGAGTTATTCAATTTGCATTTTCTACAATGTTGTCTCATTCACAGAGGAGAGGCGTGATTTATTCCTACACATGACTCATGAGAAAGCAGGTGCCAGGACCCCTGGGCTCTGTGTCTGAATCGGAACAAGACTCTGGGCAAACCCTTGCTTGTGACTTCCCTGTGCCTTTGCCAGGGATCATAACTAACTTCACAGGGTTTAATTATCAGCTTAATTATAGCATTTTGCACAACCTCAGAAGAAAAATGCCATTACAAAATGCATTATCCCCTTATTGACTGCTTTTTCAATTAAAACCGTTGGAAGGAAACTAGACCCCAAAACATTTTGCCTGATTGAAATATTCCTTTAACATTCACTTTAAGCTGTAGAAAACAAACCTTCCTGCCATCAGAATCTCAGGAGACTGCAGCATCATAATATCAGGAAACTCACAACTTTGGCTGAAAATTCCTTTTACAGTATTCAACAGCTGGGGGAGAAATATTATAAAAAACAACACATAGGCTCTAAGATGCACCCAGTGCAACTCGGCATGGTTGCAAGGTGAAAATACACGGGGTTGCTCTCCACAATCATGGCAGAACAAGGAAGTGCCCGATACCCACATCACGTGTAGGATCTACAAGCATTCAGGCTACCCATCAGATCCTGGGATCACTCAGCTTGAAATTTTGTGTTGGGTACAATGAAAAGATGCCTTCCTCCTCTGAGCCGCAGTCACGTACACAGCGTGCTACAAGCTGATGTGCGATGCACACATCAAGCATCTGTTCGAGAATCTGCATTGGAGGCAAATCAAACACCGCATACATCCCCATGTTTGGCTCTGCTGTGCCTACAGATGTGCTCCTCACTCAAGAGTAGTTGATATTCAGAGCGAGTGATGTGTGGCTTATTCAGAAATTAACTTTTAGGTGGGTTTAAGGGATGGGCAGAAAGGGAGGAAAATGCCAAGCTGGAGCATGTGTGCTGTCTACACTGCTCTCACCTTCCCTTGCTCCTTTCCACAAGCCATCCAGCAAGCCCCAATCAACACTGCTATCAGCTGTGACCACACAGACCCAGTCCCCTGCCTGAAGGGAATCCCTGACGCTGAAGTCCCTGACTGATGAAGGCACTCACACATTGCAATAACTTATTTACAAATTGGGAGAACAGGGAAAGCTTGAGGCATGGCAGTGTGGGTCAGCTGGGGCAGAAGACTGTCAGGTGGGAAGGTGGGTGAGGACCAGAGGGGTTCCAGGCAGGATGCGATTCCATCCTCAAGTTACCACCCATCAGCCAAGGAACGGTCACTGCTTGTGTGGGTGCTCTTAGCAAAACACCAGAGCTGAGCTTAACCCCTGGTTTTAAGCCACCTAAACCATTTATTTATTTACTTACAGTTATGCCCTAACATTTCCCTCCCCCATAATGCTTCCTCTTAATCCTGGCATTAATGCCAAAGAGTCAGAAGGGGTTTAGCAATCATGTGGCTGAACCTCGCATGACTAAAACTATGACTCAGAACATCACTGGCCACATCATCAGAGAAATCAGATCTGCTCATCATTACTAGTCCGTTAGCATCAGCTGGGCATTAAGTGCTTCCAGATACTCACAAAGATTTTCTCCCTGCAAGACACTGCCTCAGTTCTGAGAAAAAAACAGGCAAAGGTGATAATAAAAAGGAATAGAAACTAGATGCACCGTCAACAGCCCCCAGAGCAATTGTGTGAGCCTGGCTAATTGCTCCATTGTGGAAAGAGGATGCTGAAGGCACCCAGCAACATCTTTGGGTCTTCTGAGAACCTTTTCAGTGCCCAAAGAGCATGCGTGGCCAACAAGGGGTCCTGGACCTGTCAAACTCACAACGCGCACTGTTCACTCACTGGGTACAGAAAGACTTTGGGGATAATTTCAGTTTGAAGAGCCCCAGCATCAACATTTGCCATGCTGTGAGCTCAGTTTGGGTGTCACCATGGAGCTCCACAGAGCTACAGCAGGGAATCGTTGGGCACCACATCATGTTCAACATCCACTTATGCCAAGCACACCAAAGACAATGGAGCAGCAGCTAAAAGCAGCATGGAGCTGGGAAACCAAGCTCTTTTCCAGCTTGGACTGCAGTCTTCTAAATAAACTAATGGGGAGTAGAAAAAGGATAATCACTAATGATTCAACATACTGAGGAGACTGTAAAATACCACGGCTCTCCCAGGGAGCAAATGCTGGGCTGGACATGCATGTCAGGGGGAGCCGAAGGAGTCTCTAGTACTTTTGAAGGGGGATTTGCTCTCCTAAGCTACTTGTCTTCAACCCCAATTCATTCATATTGGGGTTGTGCTTCCAGATCCCCAGGTCAAAGACGTTTCAAAGTGCAATTAGTCACTCTGCCAGAGGTGCTGTGCTTCACTCGTGTATGAGAGCCGAGCACAGAAAATCACAACCTTCTCTCTAAGCTGATGGGCTTTCAGCTCCAGCCCAAGGATTTCATCTTCACCCAGCACCCTTGATTTTAACAATGGGGAGAAGGGAAGGTTGCATTAGCTGGAGGATGTTTAGGAGGAAACACGCATTTGAGGGCAGGCAGAGCTCTGCTGTCACATTGTCAGGTCACCAAGGAGGGCAATCGCAGCATGAAATACCCCTGGCTGTACTCTTACAGCAAGCCAATCTATACCCGTGTGGCCTGAGCCCCATCCTGCCTTTCTCTTGGTGCATTTATCCTGATCCCACAGGATCTACCACCAGCAGTGGTTTGCCCAGGTTGGATGTGCCAGGCAGGGAGAGTGCAGCAGACCACCCTCAAACCACACGGGACCTGTAATAGGAGAGAAGGATCAGGCTGAGCTGGGATGGTAAATCCCCATGTCCCAGGTAGCAGCAGCCTGTTCGTGGGCTCTTGCAAATTCTCCTGCCAGAGCTCTCCTGCTTTGAAGAAATAATTAAATGCTCAGAGGAGCAGTAGTGTGAACCCATCCTGCCCTCCATCCCGTGGGAGAGCCTCAACCCTCAGCCTTTAGTCAACTGCTGTCTGTCCAAAACTCTCCCATCAGAGTAGCTCCCTTGGAGGACATAATTAAATATTCATTGGACTGGAGAAAGACAGAACGGGACAGGG